AATAATTTTTTTAGGATTTAAATTAGTTTTCAAATCATAAAATATAAAATTAAAAAAAGATTTTTAAAAATAGTTATAGGCTTTAGTATTATATTATAAATAATAGTTATCTAAGATTTAAAAAAAGTAGATTAGATTATAATCATTTTTTTTAAAAAAAATATTAATTAAAAACATATTCTTAAAATCTCTGCTGATATAATTCTTAAGTATAAAAAAAAGAATATTTAAATATGTATATATTTTTCTAACTAAATATTTAAATTTAATAAAAAATACTATAAAATTATAAGATTTTTATTTTAGTCAATATAATTTATTATATATAGTTTTAGTATAATTAAAATTACTAAAAAATATTTAAATAATTATAAAATATTAATAAAATTATTTATATTATAATTTTTATTTTTAATATAAAATTAAATTTAGATATATAATATTTTATCTAAGCAGCTGGTTATATATAACTTTTAAATAATAATAATAATATATTAGTTAATATTTATATTTATTTTTTTAATCTAAAAAATAAATTAACAAAAATTAGTACAGTCATTTTTAAATTTATTAGAATTAAATAAATATTTTAAAAAATATAAAAATAAAAGATTCAAAATTAATTAATATAATTATTTCTATTAAAGCAGCTGTAGTATTTTTAGTAATATATATAATTTTTAAAATTTATACTAAAATATCTATTATAAAAATAATAATTTAAATAATTTTAGTATGTTTAGTTTATATTTAGTTTTTTTTAAAGATTATTTTATAAATAATAATAATATCAACTAGGTCTTAAATTATAAATATTTTTTCTACTAAAACTATTCAATTTAAAAAATTAAAAATATTTTTTAAATAATTAGTTTATTTTAAATCTTTATAATATAGATATAAATCTGATTATAGTAGTCATATTATTTTTCAATTATTTATTAATATATTAAATAAACTTTTCTAGATTATATAGTATAATCGGAGATTATAGAATTATTAATATTTTATTAGACTACTATTTTTAAAAATAAAAATTATATAATATTAAAAAATAAACTGATATTTAGTTTTTAATTTAATTAAATAGTAGAAGTAACAGCTTTAACTAAAAATTCTTTATAATAATCTTTCTAATTTTTTTATTAGCTACTAGATTAGATTATTTTTAGATTTATAAATAAGATATAGCTCAAAGAACTATAATAAAATTAGAAATAAACAGCTAGTTAAAAAGATTATAAATTATATATAAAATAGTTAGCACAGGTAGTTGGATTATTAAAAAAAAGTAGATTAAATAAGCTAAATAGATTAAACAGATTAAACAGATAGATTAGATAGAATAGGTATATTAGGTCTGCACTGTGACACTACAGCTGAAATATAAAAAGTATCTGGGATTGCCTTGTGCAGCAATCTGTACAGAGTATTACATAGTATATATTTAAACTAAGATTTCCTACTAATACCACCAATAATTCTAATGCTACCGGATGTTGAATTTCATGGGTGAAACATATCTGAGGGAGCTTGAAGTAATGATATTAGAATACTTTCTATAACAAGAGTTTCCAGAAATCCTTCTTCTACTATAATATTTTAATAAAGTGCAGGATTCTGTACAGAGGGCGGCAGAACGGCCAAAAAAAGCAGACATTATGATTATAAGCTGTATAAAATCTCATTGCCTATAATAGTAATAATAAATACAAAGCTTTCTACTTCGCCTCTAGGGATTTAGCACTGGTGGTGTCTGCATTACTGCCGGTATTGATGGCAAACCATATCATAGGGTAGTTATTGCTCTTACCGCTTAGTCATAGCACGTGACAGGATTATTCACATACAGAGTAAGTTATAACTTGCACTTGCCAGAATATAGCTAAATGGTTCTGAGAGAACCACACTATATACAGCTGGGTCATGCATTAGCATAGCATTTTTGCACTTCGGAACAGGTTCGATATCCTCGGTTCGAACAAGAATTCCTCTAATCATCCCATATTTATGTTGTTAGACCTCTTTAAATCTTTCAGCGGATTCTCCCCAAGCCCAAGCATCTCGAAGAGCAGTGTTTGCTTCCATCACTGCATTGAAGCATGGCAGCCCTCAGTGAGGACTTACTTATCACCGTCAACAAGCTACAGGATCTTGTCTTCAACACCATTGGAAATGACTCCCTTGATCTACCCCAGATTGTGAGTGAACATCACCCATGGCCTGTTCTTTGCTGTGTCTTTTGCGACATACAATTAGACCATAGCAAACCTAACCATTTCCTACAGGTCGTTGTCGGCTCTCAATCTTCCGGAAAGTCATCTGTTCTTGAAAACATCGTTGGCAGAGATTTCCTGCCGAGAGGAAGCGGTATAGTGACAAGAAGACCCTTGATTCTTCAACTCATAAACATACCCAGTGAACGGCACGATAGACCTGAAGGTGACGAAGTTCACATACCTCACACTGCTGCAAGCGTTGCAGGACAAAATGAGTGGGCAGAATTCCACCATCTTCCCGGCCGCAAATTCGATGACTTTGCTCTCGTGAAGCAGGAAATCGAAGCCGAGACAGCAAGGATAGCGGGGAGCAACAAGGGCATAAATAGACAGCCCATAAATCTCAAGATTTTCTCACCCCATGTCCTCAATCTCACCATGGTTGACCTGCCGGGATTGACGAAGGTGCCTATTGGAGATCAACCGTCGGATATTGAAAAGCAAACACGGGCATTGATTCTGGAATATATAGCCAAGCCTAACAGCATCATTCTGGCAGTATCCCCTGCCAATGTCGACCTTGTGAACTCTGAAGCCTTAAAACTTGCGCGACAGGTTGATCCCATGGGTCGAAGGACGATCGGTGTCTTGACGAAGCTGGACCTCATGGATCATGGCACTAATGCCATGGATATTCTCTCTGGCCGCGTCTATCCACTGAAATTGGGCTTCATCGGCGTCGTCAATCGCTCTCAACAAGATATTCAATCCGGGAAATCATTGTCTGACGCACTGCAGGCTGAGCTGGACTTTTTCAGACACCATCCTGCTTATCGCAACATGGCAAACCGATGCGGCACTCAATTCTTAGCAAAGACCTTGAACACGACTCTTATGTCCCACATCCGCGATCGGCTTCCTGATATCAAAGCACGCCTTAACACTCTCATGGGACAAACACAACAAGAGCTTGCAAGCTATGGCAACAAGCAGTTCAGCGGCAAGGAACATCGCGGCTCGTTGATATTGCAATTGATGACGCGCTTTGCATCATCGTTCATATCTTCGATCGACGGAACCTCCTCCGAGATCTCTACCAAGGAACTCTGCGGTGGCGCTAGAATATACTATATATTCAACTCTGTTTTCGGCAATTCCCTTGAAACGATAGACCCCACTCACAACCTGACTGTCTCCGATATCAGGACGGCCATCCGAAATTCAACTGGCCCTCGCCCGAGTCTATTTGTCCCGGAGCTTGCCTTTGATTTGCTTGTAAAACCTCAGATCAAGATGCTGGAAGCTCCTAGTCAGAGGTGCGTCGAACTCGTTTATGAAGAGCTTATCAAGATTTGCCATACATGTGGTTCACAGGAGCTGCTTCGTTTTCCGCGTTTGCAAGCAAAATTGATTGAAGTCGTATCCGATCTCCTTCGTGAGCGCTTGGGCCCTTGCTCAGGATACGTGGAGTCCCTTATATCAATCCAACGAGCCTACATAAACACCAACCATCCCAACTTTCTTGGTGCAGCGGCAGCAATGTCATCCGTCATTCAAAACAAACAGGAGCAGGAAAGGAAAGCAGCTCTGGCAGAGGATAGAAGAAAAAGGGAAAAGCGCCGGCTCAAGGAACTTGGGGGGTTGAATGGCAACAACGCTGCTTCGTTGGAAGATGACGAAAATCCGCAATCCGAAATCAAGCCACCGAACGTCTCTAGCAGAAGCCAATCCGTGCGGGGTGCCAGAAGCATGTCTCCTCACCTCGGCAAAGCCCAAGACGGCGGCATTTCAGCTACACTGAATGGAACGCATTCGAACGCCTCGGCCACGTTTGGAGCAACGAACACTACCCGTGATTCATTCTTAAATTACTTTTTTGGCAAGGACGGCGTGCACCCAGTCACCTCGCTACCGCAGGTATCAAACACAAATAGACAGACTTCAAGCCCCCATGAGGCCAGTGTCAGCCATGGTTTGCGGCGGGCAGATCTGCGGTCTCCGATCATGCCGCCCGACGATTATATTACCACTGTGGAACAATCCAGTGATGTTGGTATTTCTGTGAGTCGACTATTTTATTTTCATCTTGAAAGAATAACAGCTAACCAACAAAACTTAGCCAAAGGATGACTCCGATTCCTCTTTGTCTGAACGTGAGATTTTGGAAACAGAATTGATCCGCCGATTGATCTCTTCATACTTTAACATTGTCAGGGAAACGATCGCGGACCAGGTGCCCAAAGCCATCATGCATCTGCTGGTCAATCACAGCAAAGATGTTGTGCAGAATAGGCTTGTTAGCGAGCTCTATAAGGAAGATCTGTTTGGCGAACTTCTATACGAGGATGATGGAATTAAAGCGGAGAGAGAAAAGTGTGAAAAACTTCTCGACACATACAAGGAGGCAGCGAAAATTGTGGGTGAGGTTTTGTAGAACGTTTGATCCAGCAAGGTCAGCCGCAGGCTATTAAGAAGCATTTGATGACATTGCTTTTTACGGTGTTCACTATCTGAAATCGCCAAGCATAGCCGTTCTCTAGGAGAAAACAATACCGTGGCACTGTTGCATTGTATACTAAGAATGTTTTCCTCTCACAAAGTCTCTAATCAAGTCAACCCTAACAGCATAGACTCCTTAGTGTTATCGAGTTCAGTTTACAGGTACATCAGATTGTGTAGAAATGCATCGAAGGTGTGATACAGCAGATTTGAATATTGCAAGCGACAAAAGAGCCTAGTGATATCTAGGCAATGAACTCATCTAACACATTAGATTTGAGTTTAATCTTTCTTCAGATGTGATTTTCTGCCACGTGCCCCTTCATAGCCATATAAGGCACCACCGAGAAATACCAATAGGGCACCGACAATGACTCCTGGCGTGAGAGAATTTCCAAAAATATATATAGACAACAAGAGTGAGGCGAGTTTGCGAATGTTCAGAACGATAGTGACGGTTAGCGAAGACGTTTTTGCAGACAAAAGATGTACCCCACGAATGCACAAGTATTGAGTCAGTGCATTTAACATAAGGTACATCAGGCGGGTTGGTATTGCTGCGAGAATTAATTGCAAAGGGTCAGAATCCAGTTTCAGTACTGAAAGCTGGGCAATCTTGCTGGCAATCGATGCTATACATGGTGAACTGCAGTGCCCCTTTGTTGTTGTAGAATTCTGATACAGAACTGCTCCATTTGACGTATGCGAAAAGAATAACGCTCGCCATTGAGTGGCGACTTGCGGATAAGTGGGCAAAAAGAGAGGCAGTGAGAGTACATGAGAATAGAAGAGAGCCTCTTTCCAGTGGTTCCGGCCATATACCTCGTAAAGTCGATCAGCGTAGATCCCCTGGAAGGCAGACAGGACCATTGCTACAGCAAGAACTGTAAATCCTGTCATTGTTGACACCGTCGATGCGCCTTGAATGTTGACTGATCGACCTTTCGCTCTGGCATCTGCCAGTGCGGCAGCAACGACGCCCAATGTAAGCATGAGCACAGAAAGCATCTGACCCCGTGTGTACCGCTTAGCATTGAATATGTAACCTATGACCATGGACGCCACAGGGCCTCCCGACCTAAGGATGATATGTAGGGGAACGGATATCTTGTACGCGAATGCCCAGTTGTTTAAGAGGTTGACGCTGATGAAGAAAGCTGTATAGACAACCCAGGATCTCAGAGGGATGGCACGCGGTCTAAGGTACAAGGAGCGAAACCCGGCAGACGGAGAAATGAAATCTGGAACGGCGACGACTGCAGTCAGGAGGAATTGGGCGAGCGTTATCAGGGGACCTCGAAAATTATCAGTACAGAAGCGAATTGGAATATCAACCGTGGGCGAGCAATCATTATTTACCGGAGCTAGGCTGTTCTCTAGGAGGTTGGGAGATCAGTATATCATTCTTCTATGCAGCCGAGTACACCAATCAACTTACTTGATAATTGCCTCGAGCGCGAAGACCTTCAGTTCAGACATCAGTAAGAGTACTTTCCTGCATTGGAATTAACTCACATTAGCACAGCAACCACCGAAGATCAAAGAAAACGTCAACGTCAAGTTCGACCATCTCAGTAGCGCTGAAGTGGCCAAGCCACTCCCAGCGCTGCGCAAGTCTTCGGATTCCGCTCCTCCAAACCCTCCGTACTTCCCGTTGTCGCGACTAACAATACACTTTTGAGTTTCCAATTCCCGTGGGTTGGTTGTGAGGAGGTCGACATCTGATGCTTGCTGGTTGAGGCTGGAGTGGACCCGTGGATGATCTCTGTTCATCTGTGTTGACGGCATTCCGTCTACAGCCCATTCCTTTTTCATGAGTAGACAAAACACGGCGGAGTTGATCCCGGAGACCAAGGGAGTATTGCGTTGGAGAAAGGCGGTTGGTAAGTAACAAATGCCCAGAGCCCTAGCCGACACGCAGCCTCTGGACCAGGAACTTAACTCTTAAAGCCCTGGCATTGTTCTGATTGGTTCAGTTGGCTATGCACGTACTTATAAGTTAGTCAATTCGGTAATATAACAAACATTAACCCAGGTGCTATGTAAAATAAGTTATTTAGACAGAGTGACCCTTTCACTTAACTAGTTGAACTAACTAACCGACTTTGGTCCGGCTTACTCGGTATTGATACGTTAACTAACTAATGCTAAGTTAGTTAACTCAAATAGTTAGTTACACTTACATATTCCAAGTCCAGAAGTTGGTAGCTGCTTCACGCTTTTATGAGGGGGTCCAAGGGTGACGAACGCTGATTGTTCTGCTGGATTACCAAGGTAGGTCAGTGGTTGTTGTAGTCTGGACATACAAATACCTAGGACCTCGGACTTGCACTGAGTTCCCAATGCTGGAGGGCCCCTTCCACTCCGCTCGGCCCGGGTTTGTTATCTGTATTCCCTGTAATTCTGAATATACTCCTCTTGAGCCTCTTGTGGTATAGTTATAGCTCCACCGTGCTATATCTAAGCAAGAAGATGTATATACAAGAATGAATACGGACCTGCTTTGTTTACTCTTTCTCTTTCTCTCTCTCTCTTTTACCGCTCTTGCTGTCCATATGGATGTTCGATTCTTACTATAAACAAACTGATCACTGACTAGTCAGTGCTTAGAAATAAGTAGAAACACCCTGGACTGGGCCGTATATTGCTAGACCTTTTATATATAATGAATAGACGGGTTAAATACATGTTACCTGAGTAAGTAAAGTGTTAGTACTATGTTGAACAAGCTACCGGTGGTCAAGGCTGTGTCATATGTAATATATAGATGAGAATAAACTATACCAGTTTTACCAACTTTGATTCCGAGTATATTAAAATTTACATATAATGTTATGTATAAGAATAATTACTCTGAGAAACAGATTGCCCCAGCGGCTTTCCCAGCATAATTCAACCGAACGGGAGCATGTAGGTATAAAATTACGGGCAGTACGAATAACAGATCTTGCTGTATATTCAGGCCCCGTATATGTATACCACGCAACTGCACTGACAGTAGAATAGCGTCTACCATCAGCGTCTTCCAAGATTCAGAAAAATAGGAACCAACCCGTGTGTCATGCCTAACGATTGATTCTGTGACTGATACGTGACCTCGAGCCAAGCTTTGTCCTAGAACCGTACTATTAGAGCTAATGCTATTCTGTTTATTCGAAGGGAAAGTGTTTCGGGTAAACAAAAGGTTGATAAGAGGATACACGGAAGGATTATTGTTCGCAGTCGGGGCTTACTTTACACCAGACCATGTGGAAGAGACCCAAACGCTTGAATCAAGGCAAGGATACCAAGCATGACAAGATCATTGAAACAAGTTCTCAGTTATCGTCTATGATTTCATCATCACTCAGAGTAAGCTCTCTCTCATCGGTCACAGACGGTAGATGAGACTCTAAAGTGTTATCCCAGCCTCGAATCCTTGTTTTCGGTATTTCTCCCAATAGTCCGACATTCGGACCAGGTGTCCCTAATTCACCGAAGAAGGTACGTGCTTTGTTGGACGCTTGCGGCTGGAGCCTGGTGAGTTTCGTAATCTTCTCGAGCTCCTGGCCTTCACTGGCTCCTCTGAGTAAACATGCCATATACGGCAATTGATGAAGTATAAGGTCACTGCGCGGTATCATGGTTGCTGTCACTGTTTGGCTTACATTCCGAGCGCCCTCGTGAATGAAATTGTTGCTAGTGCCCAGCTCCTTCTCGCTGAGGGGAGTAGTAGATTCAACTATTGAGCCTGGGGCAGGGTAACTAATCGAGCTCAAGAGCCTGCTTGACCACAAAGCTACGAGGCCCTCAACCTCCTCCATAATATGCAGTGACCGCAAAGAAGTCGGGTAAAGAAGTTGTTGGCTATGTCTTGGAGTCCCAATACCATCATTAAATGGAATCTTTCTTGACACTGGATAAGGAAGGGCGAATAGTAGCCCACGAGCGGCAACTTGGTAGCTGATTTCTTGCTGCCGCAAAGTCTCAACCGCAGCACTATTTCTAGTTGCATGTATGAAGAACCTATTTGTCCTTTTGGAAATAGGATACAACAAGTCGCTATCCGAAAGCGCACTAATGCAATCGTCAAGGCACTCTGTGAATGAGGCACCATCGCAAGATGGAACATAGTTCTCATGCAAAGTACTGATGAAAGTTTGTGTATCGGTACCGGTCTCATTATATAGTTCGTTGACCTGCACCTGTGATATTTTCGGCCGTCCATAATGACGCAAGTAGCTTGGAGGCATAACAGGCTGACCATCTTTCTTAGAGCTTGGATCGTCACGCTTGTTATACACAACCTTCCCAACAGCATGGAACAACCCCAGAGTGGTCTCTCGTTGGGTTATGAGCCCGAGTGCCTGCTCCTCCACCGGAGTAAGAGTGGGTGCTCTCCGGGAGGCTTTCTTGGCCTTAGACGGTTTCTTCATCTCGGCAAAATTACTGGACTTCAGGCAGATGAATTCCAGCCGGGCAGCCGCACTTCGAATATCCCCGTTCTGAGATAGGCTGCGCATTGTAGCGGGTGATAGTGCTCGCTCAGATTTAGAAACGCGGCCTTCCTTCTCTAAGATCAAATTTAAGGCTCTGAACATGAATGTGGGAGCTATACTATTGAAGTCAATAATTCTTGTTCCTGGATGATTGCAGATCGCCGGGCCTAGCAATCGATGAGCTGTGATGTTATCTGAAAAAGAAGAGCATGAGTCGAGAAGTGTCTCTGAGATAATTATGACCATTGGAGAGCAGGGCACTATGTCCATCTCTCGAGCGGAGCCTGCCGTTACTAGGTACCGCTGAACAGCCATTCTGAACAGAGATAGATTAGAAGATTGCGTTATTAGTGAAGGGAATTCCTCGATCAGTATTAAACGCCGTCGCGGCGAAAAGCCCTCTATGGCGCCCCTTTGACCTTCGGAGAAATTGCTCGGCAGGTCAAGGTCGAGGCCAGGGAGCTCATTAGCCCTCTCCAGAAAATCACCAAATTGTAAGGCGACGGAATTCGGCAAGTTGGTGACAGAGTCAGATGCCGCTGGATTTCTCCATTCAATTATCTCAAACCCCAGAGTCTCTGACAGAATGGAAACCGTGGTTGTCTTGCCACTTCCTGAAGGACCACGGAGGATAAGTAACTTCCGCCATTGTCAGTAATGAATAGTTTGGACTCGATGTTATACATAGTCGAAACATGATAAAGGGAGTCATTCAACAAATGGCCAGGCTACATACCCGTTCACCCGTCCCATGGAATGCATTATTCAGCCAAGTTTTCACATCGGAGATCTTCCTGCTATGAACTGCCAGTTCACTTATATCTTTTGGAGGGAATCTCTGAGCCCACGGCAAGTCTGCATGATCTGCATTGAACGGGCGAGAGAGTCGAGGTTGGGAATAACAAACGGGGGGGATGACGAATCGTTTGGTAGTGTTGGAGCTTTGACTATAAGGCAGTTCCTTCTGATGAAATGGACGAACACCTTCCCGATCGTTGGCAACATTTGTGATGTCCTCGCGTAGACAGGTACCATCGTCTGCAAAATGCTGTGTAAATATCTCATCAAAAGAGTCATAGTCATCTTCAATGACGTCGTCAAATGGGCCTGGTGCTTCCATTGCTATGTTCGTCTTCGCATACTCATTCGTCTCAGGACGAAATTTCTGGCCGGACTTTGCAGGGCCGCAAAAATCGAGTGGGGTGGATTGTGTTAAAGAGAGATCTGAAGGTGCTTTGCGCTTCATCCTCGCTATGGCGAACGCCGCCTCCAGCTTGACGGAAGGAAGACCCAGTCAAGCAAGACAGGGACTCAGACAAGCGAACAGACTAGAATGGTTGTCGTCGCAGAGTTTTCACCGCTGTGGTCTCCCCAGCTTCATCACAACCTCTGCCGTAGCTAAGCTAGGTACATGTGCATTTGTTTGTTGTCCATGGAAATTAACGTGACCATGGCCTGGATGGAAGGATGCGGCTCATGACGAGTGATCAAACGGAAAGAGGACGGATGAGGACGATACAATGACTGCAGCGGGCGAGAATCGTCAGCGAGGCCAGGCCTAATCATAGGACCCTGAGTTCCGGGATGTCGATAGAGCTTCGGGAGATTGGTGGTCCAACCTGTGTCCCGAACCGTGGCCGGATAGTTCTGCCGAGCCGAACAAGTTTCTATGTAGCCTGAGGTTGTAACGTTATGTACAGTACAACATGTCCCTTCCATGTGTGGGCGATGAGGTTTTGTACGGCTCACAACCTGGCCGCCTGCTCTCTTGGACCGCTCTGCCGCCCTTCTGCACGGACTCCCGTACCCCATCAAAAGTCAAAACACTACAGACTGCGTAGGGGGGCCCAATGGTCCCCCCGCTCACCGCTTGTATGTACTTGAAGAAGCCATTCGGTAAATCAGATTTACGAAAGATGCGAGACCTACGTAGGTATTATGCTTGGCATTATGGATTACTAGAGAGAAGACTATGTAATGTCTTCTTAATATATGTATGGTCAATGCATATAGTGAATGAACCCATCAAGGACCCCCGAAGACATCGTAATAAAAATCATTGTCGAGGCCTTCACGCGAAGGGACGCCCGGCGTCTCACTGACGAGTGCTAGGTCGTCGAAGCGAACGTTCAATAGACGGATTTTGAGCCCGTAGTCGCTGATTAGTTCTATTAATTTGCTTGTTTCTGCCGTAATAGGTTGCTGGTTAAGTAGCATTAGTAAACCATCGAGCCACTCTGATGCTAGGCTGGGGGACTGTGGATGCAAGTTTAGCAGTATGCACTCCCCGGGCGAAGACTTGCTGAGTTGTCGAGAATGATGGCTGGCGTCTTGTGTGCTGCCCTTCGTCCTTGCTGTATAATCAGGAAGGCCATGAATTGTTATCTTCATAGAAGGGTTGTTGTGGGGCCGGGTCTTCATCGCTGATGGAAAGTATTCATCAGACAACTTCGAGACGTTGGATACCACGGAAGACACAATGGAGAGGTCGACTGAGCGATACAGTAAGTGTTCAATAAAGCTCAAAGCGAGGGGTAAGTGCTAGGAAGGCCATACTCACTTTTATTCGGTAGAACGTCTACTTGAGGACTTACTTCCTGCCGATGCTCGAAGTCACCAAAGTGCAGAAATCGCCGATTATGCGATAGCTGAATATACCGCCAGGAGGGTTTTTTCGATGCCTGTTCCAAGTCCAAATCGTCTTCGTTCGGGAACCAACCGCCTCGAAGCAGAGATCTTATGCGCTGCTCTTTCACAAATTGAAGGGACTCGTGGTATAGCTCTCCGCGCATATTTCGTAGATGTTGCCCCCAAGCATCTTCGTATGTAAGCTCCATTAGTTCCATCTGTAACTCGCGAAGGCGCCCGTAGTCAAAATTGACTATGTCTTCCTCCACATCTTGCACATCCTTGGTGCGAGGCGCCCTACCGACGATCGATTCAAGAAGCACACGAATGAGCTCCACGATCTTGTCATAATCTTCAATCTCGGCACCCGTGGTTTTCCACAGACGGAAGAACGCATGCAGCCCAGCGACATGCAATCGTGTCCAGTGTAACAGTAGAGGCTGAAATAGACTTTCAACATTCAATCGAGAATCTATCAGCAAGGATGTTTTGACATCTTCTATCTCTGATCTGTCGACTTCAAAGTGATTGTAGAGAATACAGGTGACGGACAACGAAGCACGAGCAATTGGACAACGTTGATCTGCTGGCCTTGTCGATTGCTCCAGTATGATTTTCTGGAATTCATCTTGATTGTTTCTGACATAATCTGCCAAGTCCATGAGTCCCAGGAAGCCTGTACATTCAAATTGCATCACTGGACTTTCGGTTTCGAAGCCAAGTCGCCGCCACTTTTCTGGGTCATGGCGTTTACATCGACGGACATCCTCCCCGGTTTCAGTGCCCTTGTCACGACTTCGTTCCAAAGAACTAGCCACGTAAATCCCCTTCAACGCTCTTCTATGTTCTGGCTTCTCTAGATCCAGTGCAATGTCTCGCCATTTCCGCAAAAGAACTTTGGTAAGATATTGAAACTCGATCAGTGGATGTATGTGGTCCTGCATGGCACTTCCTTGCATCAGGGAGTATACTGCCCGTATGACTCCCAGATCCTGTAGCCTCTGAATGAATTTTGGCCATTCTAAATCTGTATCGTTTGTGACGGAGTCACGCATGAGTGAATTGATCAGTTGCAATGCATTGGCGCAGAGCGCATGGTCTGCGGAGGATAGTCTGCTGACAAGCATCTCCAGGAACTGCGGATAGATGGCAATTGCAGGCTTTAGCGCGCGAGATCCGAAGCCTCCAGTCTGCGTAATATCATCTCCTGCGTGCGGGTGTGACACTATGGACACTAGTATAGACATAGCGCCCCTTAAGATGTTGACAAGGGGGTGTGTCACAATGAGCTCAACAACCTGAGATACAATGACTACCAGTCAGTCATTGTACAACAAATATTCGACGATACATTGACGAGGTCTTGATTGGGCCACATACTCTTTCGACCACTTCCTGGTCTACGAAGTCCCAGCCCTTATCGACTTCTAGTAGTCTTGCGAAGCTTGTTAGGCTATATGCCAATGTGTTACCAGTTGCATGTAAGATCAAATAGCGTAGCCTGACAAGTCCGCCTTCCGCAATGAATATATCGGCAAAAGAAGGGTCGCCAATGCTGCTCTGCAGCTTGAAAACTGCCATTTTGCGCACTCCATCTTCATCGCTCCCTAACCTCTCCACAAGTTCCGATATGCTATTCTCCATCGAGACTGTTTTGTGTGGTGCTTTAGTCTCTGGATTTGATCAAAGCCTGACCGATGCTCGAACTAAGCAGTATGGTTATGCAAGACGTTCGGTCGAGGAGGTGAATTTCAAGTTTTTCATCCTGTCGGGGTTGAAAAGTAGAAAGAGGGATAATCAGGAGGTGGGCTGCCAAGCAGCCGTACCTACTGTACTTTACTTGCTTCGCACCTTGAGTTAAGTTACGGCTGGGGCAAGCCACCCTAGTCAGCAATATGTTTCGAATCTCTCTCTATTTGTACGGTACGGGCGCAAGTTAATTCCTCATCTCAGACGTCTAGAAATGCGTAGAGCTTGTCAATTTATTTGGGCCAAGCCCAGCATCAGCACTACCAAGCCAGGCGATTTACCATCTCTGCCAATGTCTGAATTTCATGTAAGTATAAGCCAAGTACAACAGTGTACTGGAACTTCGTATTATTGCGCATGTAGTGTACGTAAGTGTACGGCGCATGATCGGGTTTTCGAAACCTGTTACGCTCTGCTCTGGACTTATTAGAGGATAACTGCTGTTGACACCGGCCGTAATTCTAATGCTACCGGAGGTAAGTCTTATACAGTAGGCAGTGGAAGCTATACACACTTTATAACGTATTTGGTAAGCGAGTCGGCCATGTAAGCCAGTCGGCCACCCATATATTACATATAAAATAGCTGATTTTTAAGTTATATTATTTTCACTAATTTCTATTAAATCTTTTTAAAACTGAATATTAAATATTATATATATATAATCTTCTTATTTATAGAAGATAAAGTTTTAATTATCTTTATTAGCTTTTATATACACTATTTATATATCTTATAAAAATAATACTTTATTAGAGAATTACTACTGGTCAATAATAGATTTTAGAAGAAAATAAACTAATTTATTTTTTAAGTAAGTTCTTAGATTATATATTACAGATTTTCTAAAGTATATATTCTAAGATTATTGAAATATTCAAAGATTAAAATCAGCTTTGTATATATAATACATAGGTGGCCGACTGGCTTACATGGCCGACTCGCTTACCGATTACGTTACTATGTATAAGCACAGACTGATATATACCAGTATTAAGATATACTCTATTAATCCTAATAAAGAATAAAAACAAAACTCTCTAAAGAACCCTGATAGCAATACCTTCGACCCCTAAGAACCCTAACAATCCCTAATGTAACCCCTGATATAACAGGACTTGTATTGTAAAAGGCTGTATTCTGTAATAAAGTACCGGTAGCATAAAATGTTTATAGCTTCCACCGCCTACTGTATAAGACTTAGCTCCGGTAGCAATAAGAATTCGACTGGTGTCAATAGCAGTTATCTTATCAGAGTTGGGTTAGCCTGGACATGTTAACTTAATGGACTGTGTGGATCTAGAATATGTAGGTACTCATACGCAGTACGTACCGTCGTACAGTAAGTGAAGTGGCCCGATCGAGTCGAGGAAAATTGGTACGTACCCGTGACCCCTGTGACCCTTCCTTTGACAAAGCAGCCATCTAATTTACATATTCGAACTATGAAAAGCTACAGTACCAAATACTGCGTACCTTCTTAATTTCATCACTCCGGTTCTAGACCTCCAGTATACTTGGCCACTTTATGTTTCTCAGTGCTAAACAGCGACCTGCTTCGCATAGGTTGTGGTATTACCTAATACATACATGCTCCCCCCATTGAAGCTTATATTCCAGTCTTGATGCTATTCGAGTATCTACCATGCCACACATCCAAGCTGAGCCCGGCGACTTTTCTCTCTGAGCACCCAACATGAAGAAAAGGACCCGTGACGATGTACTTGCTAGGTATGGTTTCAAGATTTGCTTACGGGACTGGGATTCTGCCATCACTTTTGGTACCGTGTGGGAGAGAAAAAGGCTGACTGCGGAATTCTGGTATGCAGCAAGAGAATAGTCTTGCCACCTTTTCATGAAATAAGCCCTCAAATCCCTGCCAATTTGCTGGATATCGCAGAAGATAGTCACGAACAAGGTTTATGTCAACGGACTTCCGCGAGGAGACAGCGGCTTCAGAAACAATCGTCACCGACGCAATCACTAACACTTGCAACCTCGCATATCTACTCTTCCCAAGTATCCTACCAAAGTCTCTCTCCGAAATCTCACCAACCGTCAACCTTCTGCTTACTCCCCTGTCATATTTGTCATAGGCGGCCCACAACAAAGGAGACACTAGATGCCTATTCCAATTGCGAAATATGTGCGCAAAGAAGCTGTTATATTTGCCTCCGTTCATGTGATGCTGTTGACTGCAGTGGCTCGATCAATACCCTAGTAAAGCCCTCAGGCTTTATAGACGAGGATCGTCGTGGCATGAGGAGGCAGACTCGATCACGAAGAATTTGCTCATCGTGTGCAGTTGAAGGTCTGAATGAAACAGGTGCTGTAGTGGCA